AAGAGAGAGATGGATGCCGAGTGTCCTATCTGTCTCTTTCTAGTCACGCGCTGGGATTGGCTGCCGCGCCAACGACGATATAGCTATACATTTTTCTCCATCCAATTCAAAGAAACTGTCATTGCTAAAATGATCACTGCAAATATATGCTGTTTTTACTTCAAAATACAAAGGTAGTTGAAGTATATTCAACAATTTACGCCTTATATCTACATCCTTCGGTAGCCTACAACATTTACACATTTTTTTAAATGTAGGAAAAAATAATATAATTATTTGAGGTTACGTATTTGTACTTTCTTACGAGTGAAAACTGCGGTTACATCCAGGATAAGACTCCGCCTTGCATTTCAAACAATGCCTCATTTTTAAACAAATCGCGTCCAATTATTATTTTGTTAACGTTCGAATATTTAACGAATTTTAATTCTACACACATATGCACGCATATTTACAAAACGAAATTTTAGTCTGCTTTCTCCCCTTCTGACGTCGCGTGGTCGTCTTGGCGGCTCATTGTAACAATTAATCACAGCGCTCGACTAGAAAGAGACAGATAGGACACTCGGCATCCATCTCTCTTTTGACCTCTATCACTTCCACTTACAGGTAGCATATATCTCTTGTTCCCTCTATTCTTATATCTCTATGGATAGGACACTCGGCATCCATCTCTCTCTTGACTTCTATCACTTCCACTTATAGGTAGCATATATCCCTTGTTCCCTCTATTCTTATATCTCTATGGAATTCCCACTCCATACATTATTAGACAAAGATAAAATGGTACTCGTACAGCAACTATCTTTTTTTAATATTTGACGACTCTTCGGTTGACTGTGCAATCTAGTTATTATGCGTCTATGGATAAGCAAAAACTGACACAGACAAAGACGGAAATACTACTTAGGTGCTTAGGTACTCTCTCTCTCTCTCTCTCGGCACGAGGTTATCTGCCAGAAACAAAAATAATGCTCCTTCTAGTATGTTCTTTAGTTTAATGGTTTTCTCACTTCAATTTATCACATCAGTTCAGCAGTGCAGCTATAAAGAACAGACCACGTATGACGTAGGCTTCACGGACATTATGTTGCTCGTATCATTTGCATATTTATATATAGTGCATCGTAGAAGACTGATAACAAACTGATGTGATAACAAACTATGTGATAACAAACAACAGAATGGAAAAAAACAAAGAATAACGCAGAATAAAATGCATTTATATCAAGTTTTCCGTCATAAGAAGGAAAGGATAAAGTACATATTCACAACGTAATTCAGTTTATTCTACTTTAACCACCTCTCCGATTAACTACTGTACTAACATATTATTGCAGTCCCAACTAATAATAGCTCAGTCAATAATTCACCATGGGTGAGCGAAGCAACAAAATGTCATTTCATTTTATTGCAATATTTTAAATTTCACTCCCAAAGCCAGATTACATTAATTCTGCACGGTGGTCTCACGCAGAATAACAAAATGCAAACGATAATTATCGTAAGATAATCTTTGTCCGGCTACCATCATGACAGTTTATTAATACAGATTTAGTAAGCAGGCCAAGTTATTTTGAGCATGTGCCTGTTAACTTCAGAAATACAGACCGATCCTACTGACTTTAGCAATGCCTGTCTGACCCTTGACTGTGAGATGCTCTAACTCTAGTTTCGTTTAAAAATGGATCCAGATTTTGCAGAAATGGCAAATGAAGTCAAGAGCAAAGTTATATTGCACTGGAACTGTCGAGGTCTCGTGGAGCTACCAGAGGTGATACGGCTCCATGGTAGTCACATAAAAGAGATATATCTCAAATGGAACAAGCTTACCACTTTACCACCCTGGGTCATGGAGTTGTTTAACGTAACCAACTTATACATGTATGGCAACCTGATTAAACAGCTGCCTATGGAACTCGGCGAGATGCATCAGTTGACAGTATTGGACATAAGCGCCAATAAATTGGAACATGTACCCTCCTGCATCAGTAATTTGAGGAATCTAAATTGTTTATTCCTGAATGATAACTTCATTGAAACATTACCAGTTGGTAAGTACAATAGCTAGATGCATTCTGCTATAGGAACAAGGAATATATTAATTTATACAGCGAATAAAAACATACAGAATTAAGTCAACTGAGTAATCTGCAAATACTGTCTGTCTCTGGCAACCAGATTGTTGCATTACCAGAATGGACTGGTTCTCTGCCAAGACTTAAAGAACTATACGCAGGTAACAATAGACTGAAAGAACTGCCCAATAGATTGACACTGGCTCCTGAGCTAACCATAATCTCTGTGGGTTCAAATAGGTTGTCATTTTTATTAATATTTTGCAAAAATACTATCTCATCTGTATAAATTAAGCTGTTCATTATTTTGTCGTGATTATAAGTTACAATTTCTTACAGTTGATATTAAAATATTTGACAGGTTAACGTATTTACCGTTGAACGGATTCTTGTCAGCCCCCTTCATTGGATTTGATTCAAATGAATATTTGAATTACGTATCATATCCGCTTCTATTTCAATGTCTGTCGCAACTTCGAACAATGCGCCTTCACAAGTATTCTTTAGCATTTGGGTGAGATTTTTAACCATAGAAGAATGTCAAGTAGGGGAACAAGTGTATAATGAAAAAAATGAAATTCTAAACTGTGTTGCTTTGAGAAGTAATATGTATATAAAGTAGATTTTATATTATTATACAATCTATATATATATACAATCACAGATGTTTTAAAACGCGCTACGACGCTAATGTATTAAGCACAAATATAAAGCTGTACATTGAAAAGAAAGGACTGTACGAAAATGACACCGATATTATAATCGAATTACCACGGCAGCTTTTGAAGATTCACGAGGTTCACGAGAACGTGACTTGTTCCCTGTGGGAATTAGCACTGAGGAAAATTTATACCGAGAGGTAATCAGGAAGGCTTACGTAAGAACAGGGGTATCTCTGCTTTTCTGCTCCGTAAAATATTATGATTGTACTGATTGAACGCAGAATGGTTAATGTCGAGAAAACATAATTTGGCTTCGTTATACTAAGAGAGAACTTCAATTGGAGAAAAAAGCCGCATACGCAACGTCCTCTTTTGTGAATATTAAATATTCGTAACGACTCACGAACACTGACTTTCGTAACGTCAAATTATAAATTTCTGACTCTGGCCTTTCTTCCACCAAAGTAGAAATAAGTAATAAGTATCTTATAATTCTAACGCAAGTACGTTTTAGGTATAAGCATACGCTCGATGTTTCCACTTCTCCGGCGAGTGTAACGATACTCTACAGTCCACTCCCTAAGGATACTAAAATGGACCTCATGTTGTCTATTATGAACCGTACTTTGTACAATTTATTAACGAACGGACCCGTCAGCATCTGCGTTAATTCACACTGTCAGCAACCTATATTCACAGAAGCGTGGATCATTATCGGTATTAGCTATCACGCCAAGTCCTTGATAACGATAGCTCTATGTTGCAGTAGAAGGTAACGTGGATGTAATTGTAGTACCTGAGTATACGAGTTTATAAGTCTCTATTAATTCCTTTTTGCAGCTGTGCCTCTGCATTCGCTGCGCATTCGAGTACGTTTAACAAACTTCATTGGCACTCCATCAATTAATGCCCCCTTTCTTTGAACCCCTCTTTGTTAAATGTGTTTAATTAAAACATTTCAGTGTATATAAAAGATATAAGAAAAAAAGATCGTTGCGTGCGTCATTAAAACCTGTTGACGGTGTCCTTAGTTCTCCGCAAACTAAAATTGTCTATTTCATCGTAATCTTAATTTATTCTGGCTTATTGATAATGACTTCCACTTGATAATGCCCAGTAAGAATTCGGATTCCACAACGTAATGACAGATTATCGTGCTAAATTATCAGAGAACGGCGTTGTTAAACGTAGCTTCTCAGATTTCGTTATATTCAAGACTAGTAGCTGAAATACCACATTTTCTTTTCTTCCTTTATTAAAATATACGTTGCGATTTACGCGATATAAAAATTTTAATTTCCCTCGTAATAATAATTCCGTTTCTGTTTCCGCGTCAAAATCAAATCACGAGAAAATATTTCGCAGGCTATATCCTATTTTACGGATATTGACGACGACTCGCTCAAGGGATCAGAAGATCCAACGCCCTGTCACGATCGATGTTGCACTTGAGCAACGCTACGGAGGCTTCGTCCTCGGGAAATCCGAGGTCCCTCAACGTGCACAGGCTCTCGTAGTAGATCCTCGCTTTGTTTTGATCGTACTGCGTGAGCGCTAAGGCTTTTTCGGCGTCGTCGCCCGAAATACCGTTTTCCTCTAAAGACTGGACGGCCAATAGATACTCTACGATCTTCTTGTTGTCCTCCCCACCTAAATCCCGTATCGCGCGCGCCGCTCTCGATAAGGGGAAACCCATATCGCTTAAGTGCCTGGCTAGCTTTTGGTCTTCCTCCGTCAGATCCGACAGTGGATGCGGCGGTGCTTTCGCGTGATTCGACGTCGTCATCGTGTCGTCGTGCTTCAGAGTCCCGCATGCGTCGGCACCCGGGCTCTCTAAATCGGGCCAGGGCTTCCAGTTCTGTCGCAAGAAGGGATCGATTGAATCATCCAGATCATTCCGATTACCGTGAAGAGAAAAATCAAGTTCACTACCTCCATGATAGGCCTCTCCAACTCCTTCTGAAGTTCCTGCATTATTGCTGAAACACTGCGGTGGTTCTCAACACTGTCATGCGATTGATCTGTACTGTTGTGATCGTCCGTTTGCTTCTTCGTATCGTCGACTTTCTCTTCATTCTGTATCTCTGCGGTATCCTCGATCGTCAACTCGTTTATGATCTTCTCTAATTTTCCAGCTGGCACCCACTGCGATCTAGGTTGTAAGACCTACGTGCAAAAAACACTGTAAGTATAAGACAATTGTCAATATCCTTCGTGCGGTCATCCGGTAATGATCTATCAATCAGTACTATTACTAGTCATGCTATGTATTTATATTATCTATTATCGGTATTGTCACAGATATTGCAAATCAGTAATATTAATATTTCTGAAGTGGTAAGTAATTCTGCTAACCTGCGCCAATTCCTCCATATCATTGATAGTCTTTAATTCCATATTGTCGAAAGGGCTACTCGTGTCATTATCGAAATCGGCAAAGTCCAGACCGTTTGTTTTCGCGTGATCCTGAAGATCATTCGCCGGTGGCGACAAAGGTTGCGGCATGAGTATTGTCGTTTCCGGAGCAGGTGCTGTGTTGATAGGCAGTTGTTTCACATAGTCTGTCGGCATCGGTGGTGGTGACGGAGGAGTCTCCTCCAACTCCTTCTTTTTCTTCTCCTCCAAACGAACTTGACGCGCTTTACTGGTCGCTTGCCTGGCCTTGCGCCACTCGGTCATCTGATCACAAATGAATTTCTCAGATGGATCCGTTCGAACGATATGTCACAATTTGTATATCAATACTCACCTTATCGAGTACAGATCTCTCCAAGCTGAAGTCGTACATCACCTTCGATACGTCCGACAATCTATTGTTGTACGCCGCGGGTAGACCGATTTTTCTCGGCGGTTTGTAGGCCTCTGCGATCTTGACGTGAACCCCGTCCATGTACGACGCGACCATGTCGTATTGCGCCGATACGGAGGATCGAGCCATTGCTTTCGGCTAGAAATCTAGACTCGCGTACTTGAGGAACACCTCTTCGTGAACAACCTGCAGCAAAGCTTCTCCACTTTATTCGTCCAGTCTGTGAACATAACCTAGTTTACACCGCAACGCATCACGTTTCGTCGCACGTATCGTATGCCGAAGATACATCTCGGTATGTTAAATCGTAGATCAACTAAACGTCGAGCATTACGGCTTACGACACGTGAGATATCTGTGGCAACTCGAGCGTCGAAAATATACTTTCATTTGACAGATAGAAACCTCGACGTAGCCATATTGCGTGTCTTTGAAATGTTGAAGTTTATTCTTATCAGCTGTCTATAATGGCATTTTGTAATGGGAAGATAAGATGAGTGAGGACAGCACACATTTTTATCGAATATGTAAAAATAAAAAATATGAAGGGGGATAAAATCGAAGTACGAAGAGGGGAATGCAGTAGTATGGTAATTAACATGCAGGTGTTATATGATATTTTGGCGTCACTGATAAAAACTAACTTACTAACTTTATTATCTATTATATACATTGCGCATCTAAAAATTAAAGGGCCACTTTCCTCGATCTCGAAAAATAAACAAAATTCAGAGTTATAATTTTCATAAAATAATAATAATATTATACATTTTACAGTTTGAAGTCTTTCATGTCCATATATAATTTTAAATATAGAATTTAATTTAATTTTTATAATGTTCATAAATATAAATGGAAATCTGTCGATGCTAAATTTTTTTTTTTTATTTGCCAAGTTGCACTGCGTGAGCGGAAAGTCAGACAATTAATGTTTATACTGTTTGAAAACGAGAACTTTTTTTTTTAATTTACACACGCGTAGATTGCGATGCGATTTTTTTTTCATGGAATTATTCAATGCTGAAGCAAAATACGTCCTTCGTATTAATCGCACATAGGCGAATGAACTGATCTATAACGTTCGCTAAAAAATGAGTACAAAATTGAAAGTTTCCTTTTTAAAATGTATCTACCAGATTTTCGATAAAAATACCTTTTTATCGTAAAAATTTAACTGAAAGATGATTGAATAACTACCGTTTCTCCTTTAATTCAATACATTCAATATATAACGATATATAATAATAACATTAAACGGAGTCTACAATAAGAATTTAAATTCTACGCCTTAAGAAATTGACCAATCACAATTGATTATTCTTCTATAATTCGATTGTAATTGGTCAATTTCTTAATGCTTAAGGCTTTAAGCATCTATTGTATTAGATGTTCCGGTTAGTTTGGAGGGCTCACTATAGATGGCTGTAGCTACAAATCTATTAGAGACATTTTGAAAGTTGGTACGTTATTTCAAAGCTTGAACATTTCTACAAATCATTTGACACAGATCCTGTGTATTTGTAAATATAACCATACTGTTTAGTGCGATTGAAAATGGAACGTGATAAGGAGCATTTTCGTCATCTATTACTTTACTGCTTTGATTCGAAGAAAACGACTGTCGAAGCTCACCGATTCAGAAACTTATTCTGATTTCTATTCTTATTCCATCAGTTAAAACGTGTGAATATTGATATTGACGATTTAGAAATGGTGATTTTGATTTGAAAGACAAAGAATGCTCAAGTTCAACCGAAAAAGTTCGAAGATGCTGCATTGCAGGCATTGTTGGATGAAAATTCAACTCAAACGCTTGAAGAATTAGTTAAAGTATTGAATGTTGGTAAATCAATCGTTTCTGATCATTTGCACACATTGGGAAAGATTCAAAAAGACGGCAAATGGGTTCCACATGAATTGTCAGAATTGGTTATTCAAAATCGTTTAACCATTTGCACTTCACTGTTTTCTCGTCACAAAAAGAAGCAGTTTTTGTGACAAATTGTAACTGGCGATGAAAAGTGGATATATTATAATAATCCTAAGCGTAAAAAGTCGCCGCCAGCGACTCCAAAACGCAACGTCCACAGAAATAAGGTTTTGTTGTGCATTTGGTGAGACGTGAAAGGCTTCAGGTGTTATGAGCTGTTGAAATTGAATCAAACAATCACTACTGAGCGTTATTAATAACAATTAATCGATTTGAATCGTGCTCTGAACATGCTTTTAACCAGAAACGTCCAAATAGCAGCTCAAAGAAAACGCAAAGTGATTTTGTTATACGACAATGCTCGACTACACGTTGCAAAAGCAGTTAAAGATACATTATTGGCATTTTAATAGGAAATTTTACGCTATGCTGCATATTCGCCAGACTGTGCTCCTTCAGATTATTACCCAAGCAGCAGTTCTTCGAACGTTCCCACTTTGTTTGAATATAACTAAACCAAATGAACATAAAGCAAACGTTCCTCGAACGTTTATGTGCTGCTTGGGTACTTATTTCGATCGATGCAGCACTGCCTTGCTGACCAGCATTTCAAAACAGATGATGAAATACAAAAATGGCTCGATGAATGGATTGCCTCGAAAGACGGACATTTTTCACTGCGGAATTCACTTATTGCCAGAAAAGTGGGAGAAAATTGTAACTAGTAGTGGAAAATATCTTGAATAAAATATAATTTAACGTCTAAAATAAATGTTTTTTTTCAAAAAATTCCTCAAAACTAACTGGAACACCTAATATATTCAAAGAGAAAAATAAGTATTTGTCGGTAATTCATTTTATTCATATACATTCTATATTTTACAAGAATATCATGAATATAGGGTTGATTGTCAACTATGATCGAATTTTATTTAGACACATATCTCTAAAAGTATTTTCAATTTTTGTTTATATATTGTGTTTATACATTTTGTTTATACTTTGCCTTAACTGCTAATATTCATTATACCTATCTAAATATAAAATTTGTATTCTTATGTATCATGGATACCACGAATTATTTATGTAATAAAATACAAATATAATTTTCATTCCTAAACTATGTATAAATAATAAGTATAAATTAATCTAAGAGTATTTAAAATTTTCCCTACAATTTTTATCGTAGAAGAGGCACCTGCATGCTTCTCTCACTGGTTTGTACTTTGCATTCTGATATAATCATAGAGTTGACGTCATTGGCCTCTAACAGTTTTTTTTGTTCTCGTTTGGCTTGTAGTGTCTTCATATACGCAAGGAAAGTCGTCCAAACTAAACTGCAAACGCTGACGTATATAACACGATTCCTCTCTGGAATCAAGACGAAGTTGACGGTCTGTAGAATTGGCCATATACAAATGGCAACCTGTAAGAGAAATAATCTCTCGTTAATACCTTCACCTCAACAATGACTAATGGGTTTTAGATATATCACGGAAAAATACCTTGTATGTCGGCCAGAACTTAATTTTGACCTCCTCGATGCATTCCGAAACTGGCTTTAATTCAAGAAGGTTCATGCCAAAAAAGAAGGAACACATAGCTACGGGACTATACGTGACTTGTTCAATCAGAGCCTTTAATTATTATGCATTTATTTAATTACTTTAATTAATTATTAACGGTTCACTTGTGGTTATACATAAATATTTATTTAAATATATTCAATATATCACATTAAATATATTCAAAATAAAATTTTTACAGCAACGTTAACCCGGGGAAAAAAATGATTATATATAGTTATGTATAATTATATAAAATCATATATGAATTTTGCCCATATATGTGGTTACATATATGATCATGTATGTCTATACGAAAAAAAAGTGATATTATGTCACTTAATTAAATGTTGATATCATGTCCTGTCAGAAGTATTTATTTCGATTCTATTATATTTGCATATAATTTATAAACAACAGTATTTTTTCATTATGGACATATATAATTATATGCATATAGTCATATATGGACAAATTTCATATATGATCTCCTTTTTCCGGGAAGTAGCATAAATTATTTTAATCTCTTCTTTTTGAACGTACCTTGGTGATTGCAGACTTCAAATTGCTTTTTGGCCAAAGAAAAGACGCGCATCTGAGCCAACAGTACAACGTGGGCGCTACATAAAGACTACCGTACAAACTAAATCGTAATGCCTCCGCATAATTAAGCTCCTTCTTGCCTGTGATTTTTTGCTGCAGCAGAGAACCAGCTGGCCATATAGCCGCGTAGGATATCATACCACGAACGATCGGATATTTCTGCGTGATCTCACGGAATTTCACGAACACGATCCGCATCTTTGTGCCTCTGTCACAAGATAAAGGAAATTCTCTTGAAATCGAGAAAGCATACTTTTCGAACAACGTCGAGGTGACGCGCCAAAATCGCGCGTGCGTTTAGACGTATTTCAAGTACATACTTGCAGAAGATTCGCGGTTTTACAAAGAAAATACTTATTTTGACCACGTGTTAACTGAAGATAATTAAAGGAGCTTAATTATCTTATGAAATCTCAGGATGGATTGCTGGTATTATTCAATCGGCAAACAGATAATTTGTTTTACGAAATAATAATAATAATAATTTTTTTTAAAGCTTCTCACAATTTGTAATAAGACAGTTGCTTATATTTTCCAAGATTTTTTCTTTATCTAAATCACAAGTTTATGCCGAGACATGACGAGATAAGGAGTGCCGTTACGTCACTGATATTTCCCTATAGATTTGGACGGCTAATTACCTTCCGTTACTCTGTTATCAGGAAGATAAACACATCAGGTACAAACATTCCGTGAGTGCACGAGTGCACTGCAACGCGACTTTTGACAGACTGCAGCGTTGCTCGCGCGTATTCCGTGACGAACCGACGATACATCTGCGGGGCAGCGCGTGACGCGACGACTGACTCTTTTTACGTCGACGGACTCACGCGGAGTCTTGACGGCAATGATGACGAAACTGGTTGATCCATTCTTATCTGTCCTTGGTCACAGTTCGCTTTCCGCGTGGAGTCCGCGTTGTGTTGTGCAATTAGTCGACCGCTTGCGTGCTTTCCTAGTAACAGTGCAGAGGATGATCGACGATGATCGCTCGGTAACATCAACAATCGTTACCGATCATTGCCTGTATATTAATTGAATAATGTGAATGTACGAATCAACTCATACCGTCCCGGTATATATTTTACAAATGTTAAAAATAACAAAGAGAAAATACTAGAAATACTTCGGTTTTATTTAAGTATTATATACACATATATACGGTAGAAATAAAACGTCATACGCGCGATCGAGTTTGATTTCTCCCGTAGGGTAGGGGTATATATTCAGGAAATATAATTAAAACGTGAGACATATGTGATCGTTTAACACATATGATTGACTCAACGATCTCTGTGATGAGGAAAATATACTGTACATAAATATAAGTGGATAGAGATGCATCGTCAATTTGGTAACTGACTGTGGTGGTCAATAGGATTCTGCGTGAACATACAATTACGGTAAAATATTTTAAAATACAGAGTACGTGTGTGTGTACGATGATGTATAATATAATTTCTGCAAAGACACGTACACCAACGATATTTGCGGGTAAATTTTTACAAAAGTTCAATATTGGAGAAAAGCTCACTTTATGACAATGCATTTGACTAATTACACAAGTAACTATATCTTCTTTGCATACTATATACTGTTGCAGTCAATTTCTTGTCCTACATGTGTGTCTGTGTCTGTGTGTGTGTGTGTGTGTGTAACATAGAATCGCAATTTGTTAGCCACAATAGAAAATTCATATAAATGATTCTATGAACATATAATTATATATATATATATACACATTTATACTGTTATCACAATTTTTGTATGATACTCATAAAGTAAGCTTGATGATTCAACTTAAAGTTACAAGGGTCATTTCTTTTCTAATAGATGTATAAAAAAACGTCTCTTGAAAACAATCCATCCCTACTTCCACCACTGTACAAAAGAAAAACAGCAGCCAAAATGTGTGTTGTACAAAGGTATTTTTTACAATATTGCATTAGCTTCTCAAATTTTCAATAGAATAAAAAAATACTGTATATTCTCTCTCAATGATTATACGATTCCCATTGATTTCTCTAAAATTATATGCACAAATTCTTCTTAACTCCAGTTTTAATTGGATGCCCAAGTCACTGATTACTGTTGGCACAGTCCATTTTGTTAATCGAAGTACTACGCTAAATCCGACACTCATTGCGTCGTGATGTCGAATAAATCACAAACACCTTCGCTCTCACTAAGGTTGAATTGATAATCTCTTTCCCCTGGCGGTGGGCTGAGTCTTACTAATGGTCCGCAAACTGTAAGTGAAATTCGGAAACGTGAAACAAAGAAAAGGAGATCGCTTTTGAGTGTGTAAAAATACATAAAATTTGACTTACAATCAGAATAAAGTTGTTCGAGCAACTCAACGTCACTTTGGAAATTGTCTGTGATAAAATAATTAACGATTTATAAAATTAACAAGATAATTACCATACATGTTACATTTTGTGTGTGTGTAGAGAAACAATGGCTCAAACTTTAAGGCAAATTTACCTGCAGTGTTCACATCGCGCAATATTATCTTGGCTTCTATTAATTCCGCATCGTCCTCCTCCTCGTCATCAGATAATACTGGATCTGGCTTACTGTTGCTTTTTGGTGGTCTAGTAGTTTCAGTCGGTTCAATTAAATTACGTTCGGTTACGTTTCAATGTTCAACTTCTATTGTCATTATGTACAAAGGTTCGGAAAGTAGATGTAACATGTTACTGTGAATTTTGTACCAATGAATAGATTCACACTTGGATAACTATTCACCCCGTGAAACAAAATTTGCGGTTACTCTTTGCTCTTTGCAGACCAGAAATTTTACTTTACAATTTCCGGTGACGATTAGAGCAGGGAAAGAGGAAGAGAAAAAGAGATCTGCGGATGGAACGGATTGCCACTTACCTGCCGACTTTCCTCTTTGGTTTGACGATAACTTCATCCTCTTTCTTTTCATCTTCCTCGCTTGTACGCTTCGTGCCTTTTGATTCCTCTTGCAATCGCATCTCTAGTACCTTATTATCATAGGTTTTAGCTAACTCAGGCTGAATTGTATATACTTTAATTTCTCCTGAGGTACTCTTCAGCTGCATGTTGTAACTTAGGACCGCCTCATCCTGTATTCCATGAAATATGTACAATGCGACATCAATGCATGCTCATACATTATTGCTAAAATATTTTCCTTCAAGTACCTTCGAAACATTCGACACTGTCAAATCCGTAAGGGGAGGAGCTTGAATTCCTAATACAAATTGCTCCTGAAAATTCTCCTTCACATCCTCATAAGTAATATATGCAAACTTCCTATTTATCACATCGTTTTCTATATTCTTTATACTCTGCTGAATCCACTGCGTGTGCATGTCCAGTAGACGTTCATGATCCTCCAACTTTCTGATCTCCTCCTTCAAATCGATCAGCTTATCACCAACCTCCTGAGTGTTGCAACCAGGTCCTGCACCCCTTTAACCATAATTTGCAAAAGTCAGTGACACATCTGGCAGGAAATGGATCCATTCCAATATATCGCGATGTGAAATTGAACACTGCGGAAACAGCGCTTTGTAGAAAAATACAAGCAAAACCTACTTCCATTGAATGCTGTTTTTGCTCTTCTTCTCAATGAGGCCGATACCCTCGAGAACGTTTGTGATATCATAGATCCGTCGTTTCTGCCGTACTTCCAAGATGTCCGCGGCCTGCAATACATTTCAATACTATAATAACGCCTAATCAATCGTCGAAAAACACTACGGATGTTTCCACGATGATAGGTTAGGTGGGATCGCGTGTTACACGTTGAGATACCGTAACACATCGAACACGCTGCGAGCCGACGTCGAGTTTCAACGAACGGACGGAGCGTCGACGGCGCGGGTCGTCGCGCGGTAGCGGATGATCGCCCTGGCCGCGCACTTCTTTCAAAATTCCCGCAACGTGAGAAATGGCGTGTACGCCCCGCGATAACTTAACCTCAGTATGGATACTGAGGTTAACTTTCACCGATCCTCCTGGCGGAGGCGAATACTCACGACTTTCAAATCCAGCACGCCGTCCTTCGCTTTCTGGAGCAGGGTGACGAAGCGGGTGGTCAGTAGCCCGAGGGACTTCTCGAAACGACTCTGCTGATTATCTGCCATGCCCGAGGTCGTTGTCAAAATTTTCAAAACTCGCTACGTCCCTTCGAAATTGCCGCAACACCACAGACGCCATCCCAGTTAACGTGCAACGGCCATTCAAATATGAGCGCGTCTCTGCCGTCGTTAACGGAACTGGTGATCGGACGAACAATTAAATAATAATTTCTTGCGCGTTCACCCGGAGAATTTGCACAAAAGGCGAGATTGTCCTTTTAATCTTTACATTCGGATATGTTCGCTTTCAGTTAATTATAATAATGCATCGTTATTACACAGGTATTTGGAGGAACAAAAATGTGGAAATGATTTTCCTCAGACATCATACTCCTGCTTTATTGCTTTATTATCTTTGATTTATTGCGATCACAATTGTTCTCTCTGTATATTTATAAATTCTAGTTATTTATAAGATTTTATATATACACATTTTAACTTACTTACATTTTATTACTTTTTATTCTATTACATTATATCTGTAACTGAACTTAAAAATGTATATATATGTGTACACGATCGAATTAGTTTTGCACAGACTCATTGCGATGCATCTTAACACTTTGTAGAAACTTAATAATAGACAGTAGGTAAAGTGTCAATTACATATAAAAGTTATATACAAAATATAAATAGTGATTGTAATAAAAAATTTGTCAAATATATACATTAATAGTAAAAAAGAATGTTTTCAAGGGAAAAGAAACTCGTTAGTGACCGTTGCGTCCGGACTTTGACTCGAACTGGCGGAACTAAGAGTTTCATCCTTTATTTTTAACGCCGATGAATCTTTATCTTTGCTTTTATCTTTCTCCTTATCTTTGCTCTTATCCTTTTCCTTCTTGTCCTTATCTTTGGTATGCTTGTGATCATGCTTGTGTTTGTGTTTATGTTTATGCTTTTTCTTATCCTTCTTCTTCTTCTTATTCTGCAGAAAGTACATCGAATGTATACATTGTTAATTTTTAATTTCCTCCAATCACAAGAATACTTTCTACAATGAGAAAAAAATTCGTCTACCTTATTGGTGGAATCACTTTTCGGTTTATGATCTTCCGGCTCCTTCTTAAACATTCCAGGTTCAAAGCCTACCGGACCCGGAGTTCCCATAATGCCTGGTAAGGATGCTGAATTATCGCTGTAGTACTCAGACTTGACTTTTCCTTCACCGGGCACTGGAATTCCCCGTTCATCCTGCTGCAAGTGGCAATACTGGTATTTATTGTACATACTTGACGACAAGAGAGAAATAACTGAAAATGAGTTACACATACATTGGCCGTTGGCGGCTTTGGTCGTTTTACTTCTGGCCCGTATTCCACTAAATTCGACGGAGCCAAGGGATCGACGACATTTGGGGACGGTCTCTTTCTGTTCGGGACAGGTAAGTTCTCGACTTCATCGATCGGTTCGTGCCTGACACTGTGTTGCACAGGTACAGCTTTCATCTAAACAATACATTTATGATTTCATAGAGATATTACAAAGATATTTCACAATTTTGTCTAAACGTATCCGACAATCTCACCTCACGTTCTGGACTACTTGGTGGACCAGCCTTCCTAGGCTTCGTGAGCATTGCAAGTTCAGGGATAGGAAGACAAAACGGGATTTTTATGCCATACAGAGTATAGTAAAGATCCACCAAATCACAGCGCAATTTTGCATCATGTGACAGCATGCCACTATAAACAACACACGTACGTGTATCATCTGCTATATACTAAAGAAAAATGATCTTTGTGAAAGATTATAATAATATCATACTTAATTAAAGTCCATATGCGATCAACCAAATCCGGCTTATCCAGACGATGTTTATGTGCTTTCTCGAATGGTGGATTCTCCACCATTAATCTTACAAGTCTGTGACGTACACCGGGATGTGGATCCATTTCTGCCATATCCAAGAGAAATTCCAAGTCCTCCCATTTGCCGTCCACGCGAGTGAAATCCACCAACGCTTCTAGAGCTGCGATTCGAATATCTAAAAGAAAGCGATTATGTGATTATTGTGGAAATTCTCACGCAAAATTATAAGGATATCAGTATCACTGTTACGTACATAATTTAAAATATTAATTTTGTTATATATCGTACCTTATATATTATATATATTATGTTATATTAATTTTAAATATTATTCTCAAAATGTTACCTATAAATTGTCCGTACGCCGCGTACGCTCTGAAAAGGTGAGGATTGCTTGGAAGATGGCCGAATTTTTGGAGGATACGTATAACTTTAAGGCAAGATACGCTGACGGTGTATTTGTAGCAGGGCAACAATTTTTCCAAGTTCAAGTTTCTCGTTACTTCCTCCAGGATAGCTTTGGTGTCGATTGATAAAGATTCTGCTGTAATAGCGGTCCTACAACAACCAATGTAAAAGATTTGTCCTCATTACATTGTAATAAAGTAACACAGTTTATGAACCACGATTGTGATATCGTACCCTTGTTGCACACTGATAACCGGCGTAACAGTAGCACCTAGAGCTTCTATCAGCGCTGCCCTGTAATAGTTGTCGGAATATCTGTTTTTGCTATTATCGTTGTACTTGAAGAGGTCCATCAAAAAAGCTAGAACTTCCGGTGGACAGATGCCATGGGCATTCCGCAATCCTGCCATTGCAACTGGTATAGTCTGACACACAAATTCGAGAGCTTAGAGGAGATCATCGTCATTATCATTACTGATTTTGATGAAATGGATAACATACGAACCTTTTGCAAGAAATAATGTTGAAAGTTTGAAAAATTATTTTGTTTAATAATCCGTCGACACGACGCCGATCCAAATAATTTTCTAAATATAGCTAACATTGCTGGTGGACCAGCCCACGTCGCTACCATAGCATTCGCTACCTGCAAAAATATACAACACGTGTGAAGAAATACAAATATAAGATCAAATGAAGTAAATGTTCAGCGATAACGAACCTTAGTCAAGCAGTGCGCAGCACGTAGTCTAACTTTGTAGTAGCAGTGCTCATTTTCGATCGTATCAGTCAACGCTAATCGCGTGGCTGGCGTTGAATGATTCTGCAGAGCCTCGATTGCTTCTAATTGTGCAGTCACGTCTCTTTCATGCCTCAACTGGTACTGCCACTGATAGTCAGGTTGTTCGATTTGTACGGCGCGCATGAGTGTCATTTCAGGATCTAGTCTGATCCATAATACCGGCGAATCGCTGTTAAAAAAAGATAAATATTTATGAAGCTATATGAAAGGAACCATTTCCATAAATACATAAACACAACTAACACAAAGCTTGTAATAAGAAAACAAATCGACATCTTACTCCATAGCAGAGAGATCCATGTCAACCTCTTCGCCGGTGCACAGCGGAATTTTTTTCTTCTTATTTCTGCGGCTTTTACTATGACACGTGATATCCGCCTTCGCCACTGTACCTTCAATTTGTAATGTGTGCTTAAAGGTACCATCCAATTCTTGAATGTTGACTAACAATGTACCGACATATTTCCTAATCCCTCTTTGATGCGTAGTGTCTTGCCTAATTTCTAATTCTACTGTGTTCCTGTAATAAATAAATAAATAAATAAATAAATAAATAAATAAATATATATATATATATATATTTATTTATCGTATTATAATTTTCATGAGCTGCGATAACATACAGTTGCAACCGAGTATGAATAAAAGAAGTACCTTTTCCTATTAAATACAAAACTCAAGTTGAATTTCGCATGTCCTCCCGTTCTCACCCACTGATCTATGAAAACCGCCATATCTTTGCCCGTTACGGTGAAAATTGCCTTGGTGAATACATTTGTACTGATTAACATGTGCGACCACAAGCCAGAGTCAATTTTCTGTTGCGCAGCGTTAGCTGCTAAAGAGAGCTGCTTGTTGAAAACCTACGGAGCAGATTAAATGTACAATCGGTATAACTTACCGTGTAACTGAAAAAAAAAAAAGATAAATTTACTTGAAGCAGTAGTTCCTGGCCAATTCTGTGTTCCAGCATTCTGATAACTAAGTGTGCCTTTTTGCGGAGAACCTTGATATATTGCGGCGACATTGTGTGCAGATTTCTAATGGGGAAATAAAATCCAGGATCAGGCGCTCGGGGTGCAGGAGCCGGAGTATTAGCCGCGATGGGCAATGGTGCTGGTGGCTGAGACGGATCTAATATTATACCGCCAAATTGTTCCTCGTATTTTACAACTTCTTGCAACTCCTAGAAAAAACAATAATTAAATAATTCGGTGACCGAGCGGTAAAAAAACACTCGCAGCATGTGCGTGTAACTGTAATTTAAAAATACTCACAGATTGTACCCATTCCCTGTACTCGTTGTTGCCGAAGCATTTTTTAGCGTACAGTCCCGTGAGATAAGTAGAGATACCCTTGGGCAACCACATATCCGACCAATTCTGCATAGATATGAAGCATCCGAAAAATTGTTCCGCGATTGCTTGCGCCATTGCCTTTTTAGTAATGTACACCTGATCTATGATCGCGGTAGAATGTAACAAATTCGTGCTGTCGATAAATAAGCAAACGTAAGCGAATTTCAAAGGTACACAATATATAAGAAAAAAAAATTATACCTACTTCAGGATGCTCATAGTAGCGTAAACGTTGATATCCTCGTCGATCTCGTCGACGAAGACCTGCTTGTAACAAGAATATGGATAGCGATTTGACAGGGTTTCCTCGTAAAATTCAAAAGCTTCATGCATGTATTTCGCGGATACTTTCAGGGACGGTAGGAGCTGAGGCAGGCAGAAGTGAGTCACTTCATGCATGTAAGGATCCACAAAGATTTCGAAGGGTCTGTAGGCAGAGAAGAGATCAGTTTATATATTATTACAAAAATGAAATGTTCAAATCAATTTCCGTATAATAATTTACTTGCCCAACTGCTAGCGCGATGTTCGGGGCACAGGCTGGAGTATTGAGCACATAGTGGAACGTTTTCCTGCGCATGTCAGGTGTATAGACAACCTCGATCAGATCTCCGCAGGAAACTGCGGTCATCGAATCATCGACGGTGAATTCCAATTTCCAAGTGCATGGTTCAGCAAAACTATCCACACATGGGAACCACAGTCTTGACGAATTTTCATAGCTATATGTATACATATGCGCACCTTTCTGGATAAAAGATTATTAGAGTGTAATAGTCTAGAGAATAGCATATACTGACACTTTGGTGATGGCAAGATAAGCTCACCTCAGCTAAGGTGCCTTCACAATTTGGAACCACAAAATGTACACCTCCTTGCGGCTGTTCCAAGGAAAATTCAATGCTGATTCTTAATCCCCGTCCTTCAGCAACTAAGTGTGCTGCATCGGGTGGTATCTGAACAACTAGTTCCCCGGCGTTATTATCAGGATCAACTTTCTGAGCTGCTGCTAAATGCATGTTTGAGAAGAACTCCAGAGAACGTCTACAAAAGATTTAATTAATATTCTCTAATATCACAGAAATATATAAGGGAACAAAATTCCTTACTGTTTACTGTCTCCTTGACAGATATCCAAAAATGGATCGAAATATTGAAAAGGAGCTTCATATGTATCATTTAAGCATACTCTATATATTCTGCATTGTTTAGCATTAAGTTTTATCAGCCTCAATGTGTCTCGCAGTGGTACAATTGTTAATTCAACAAAACCCTGTGTGAGAGAACATATAGATAAATTTAAGAACAATCCAAATATATTTTAATAGATTAATGTTACTTACAATGATGCTTTTCCTCTGAAAGCTTATTCCAGTTAAGCTTAATATTTGATGAGCTGTAAAATATCAATTGCTAATTATTTTTTCAGAATTACCAAAGAATACATAAAAAGTACATAGTATCAGAAGAATTAATAAAGAATATATAAGATCTATAAAATTCCAGAATTATCAAAGAATATGTAAAAAGTACAGAAAATTACATATTTTATATTTCTCAATAAATACTCATATAATTAATAATTAAAAGTGTATAAAAAAGAAATGTAATTTTAATAGAAACTTTATTTAAATTTTATTTTAATGTGATATCTTTTAAACGCATACAAATTCTGTCTAAATGCTGCTTCAAACGTCCTAATTTTGATGAAAAAAGTTTCTGTTCGAAATATTAATGTTTCATAAGATCGTTTTTAAACGAAGAAAATATTTATAATACAAAAAAGAGAAAAGTTAAAATATAAGGATATCATTGGGACGTTCAATATTTTTTGACAAATATTTTACTAAGCATGATATTTAAATGAAGGAGAAACAAGCAGAGAATTTGCAAGTCTTTACTTATTGTCTGAGTTTAGAATTAAATATGAAATTATGTAAAAATACATTTTGGAGGCTTTATTTTGTTTGTAAAGAAAAACCTAACCATAAAGAGTAGTTAACATAAAAACTTAAAATGTTTATACTTCATTACATTTCACTTCATCAATGTTACTATTGAAAATACTTATAATTTATATGGGCGGCTGTTATCAGCCGTTCTCTCTTTCTTCATTTTTCCAAATATATACGATTTCTTGAGTATTCACAAAAATAGCAAAACAGACAGCATGTCTGATACTTTAGCAAAAACTTCGAACTTCACTCGTGTACGGTTGTGGGCCGTTTATTGTGCAGTTTCATACACCAATCACAATTAACTTCGAACTTCAATGATGCCAGAATCAACAAACTAGATGCGACTGATTCGAAAAGGAAGTGGAAGAGATATATATACACATAAAAAGTTGCGTTCGGAAACAACACACTGAGAGTAGAATGGCAATTGATCAATCGGTAGTGAAATTCTACTCTATAACCGTCTACCAATAACTGTCATATTATTTTCTGCCCACAGGACGCGGCAACGCTTGTCGCGCGGCAAGAAGCGATGCGGTAGCCAATCAACGTGCTGTTTTTCCACGAGATCTAAAAGTTTATTGGTTGTTGCGTCGCTACTTACCGCGCGGCAAGCATTTCCGCGTTCTGTGGCCATATCGGTAGAAGCCATATCGGTACGTATCTTTTCGCAACTTTTTGCCATATGTTATACCTACACAATGGCATATTCCTTACCTGACAGTTGTCGGTAGTAGAGTTGGGCGATACAGTATCGACATGTAAGAATTTCTTCCCAAAAAAATAGGGTAGAATTTCTCCCAAAAAAATAATTTCCTCCGTAATTTGTGGAGGAAAACCTTATTTTTCTGGGGGAAAACCTTTCCCTATTTTCGATACTATATTACCCAAATCTAGTCGGTAGGCGGTTACAAAATGGTTATGTTCAGCAGAGAAAGCAGCTTTGCAATTGTGTAAAATCCGTGAATCTGATTGACGTATACTGTTAATCTTGATCGAATCTAAGAGCATACACCAATCAGATTCACGAATTTTACACAGTTATAAAGCTGCTTTCTCTGCTGAACGTAGCCAATCACGCTACAGGACAAAAAGTATTCAGATTTTTTTATCATGATTGGTCAATTAAATGCCACTCTGCCCTCATTATTTTTATAGATGAATATTATAAAAAACACATAATAATGCGGTATACATTCATTTTGTGTTTGATAACACCAATTTGACCGTTTGATATTTCCGAATATAGCATGGGTGTTGCTGAACAGCTGGTGTTTAGTGGACACAGTGTAGATTCTTGAACACAACTTAACACAGGTGTGTGAACGTTAAACCCGTATTAGACTACGGATTGGAGATTGAGATTCAATTGAAATTTGACAAATCAGTGCAAAATTCACTAAATTTCACTAAACTTGAATTCAGTTAACTTTATACTGATTAGCTAAATTCAATCTTAATCCCAATTTCCAATCCGTAGTCTGATACGGGCTTTAGAAAAATAGTTATAAAACTAATTGCAACAGTACACAGTGAACACCGTGACCGTCAAGTGGAACGGCGCGAAGAGTGATTTGGGCGTTGCGAACATTATGTGGAACGCGTCCTTCATGTGATATCTTTGAAATGCATGCTAGTTTTGTTTAAAGACGCCTTTTCGGATGTTCTACCTTTGTTGGAAAAAGTTTTTGCTTGAAATATTAATACTTCGTGAGACCGTTTACTAAACGAGGGAAATATTTATAATACAAAAAAGGGAAATTAAGTTAAAATATAAGGATATTATTGGAATATCCAATATCTTTTGATAAATACTTTACAAAGCAGATTTGACATTCAAATGGAGGAAAGACAAGCAGAGAATTCGTAAGCTTTGACTTATTGTCTGAATTTAGAAGAAAAAATAAATTAAATATGAAATTACGTAAAAATACATTTTCTTAATTATATGTGTTGTATATATAAGTTATATATAAATTTTAATATATGATTTATAGTTTTTTTTTGCAGAAAACTTTTATGTTTCATGCAATATAACTTGTAGAAAATCAGGAATTAATCTGTTTTTTAGAATTCCTGTAAACTTAGAGGATACTAATGAGGTTATAGCTAGTTTAGAAATGCTCAGTGTGGATACCAAGTGTCCATCACCTACAGAGACTAAGAGAGTACTTAGAAAAAGGATACCTAAACTTGTTTCTACAGAAGTTTCTAACAGAAGGTAATAGATAGCTTGAAATTAAATTATGATATGCCCATTTTATCAATTTTCTTTAACTTTATACTATATGCTTTCATGTATAAGATGCAGTCGTAGACCAAAAAAAAGGGTAAATCGATACAATTTAGAAGAGAACATTAAGGAATATTATTTAGATAAAAATATAAAAAGGCAACCAAATGATCTTGAAACAATTTATGAAGAGAACGATGGCCCAAGTGACAATTCTAAATATATGAGTGCAAAGAGATTCAAAAGAATGTTATTGTTTGATGCTGAGCCTTTAGCTTCTAAGTTGAGAAAAAGACGTGCAAGAATACAGAAAATTTTTGGAACCAAGGTTACAAAAAACTACAACAAAAGGCGTGTCTCAATGCAGTCTGTTCTGGATAAATTAGATGGTATTAGAATAAACTCACCAGCAGAAATAGATATCAAATGATGTAAGAAATTTATTTTTGTTGCATTTAAATACAATATCAGACTTTACAATTATGGGGCTTCAGAAGACCGGATGTGTCATACTTTTTAGAATATTGTGAATTTCCTTCTATGCATTTTCTCTAACGGTGTGAAAGAAATTGTGTGAATGAAAAGAAATATTGAAATTATAACTTACCATATTTCTATGTATTAAAGTCATATGAAGATATAAAATGCTTTTTACATGCATTTGATGGAAATTTCTATATTTATGAATTTAAACATGCATTGATACAGAAAATTATTTAGTTGTAAGATATCGCAAAACAAGCTTATTGTATCAAAATATAGTTTTATATTAATTTTTGAAATTTTTTTCACTTAACATTATAGGTATATATACGGAGTATGAAAAATGATAATGTACTTTCTATATATTTAAACAGAATGTTCGTACCACATTGCATTTATAGATTAGTTTAAGAGTTCATCATTTATTAATTTAG